AAATGGGTGACATGGTTGCATGGTCTAGTGCAGTGTTTCCCAACCTTGGGCCTCCAGCTGTTTTTGGACTACAACTCCCATCACCCCTAGCTAGCAAGACCAGTGGTCAGGGATGATGGGAATTGTAGTTCAAAAACAGCTGGAGGCCCAAGGTTGGGAAACACTGGTCTAGTGAAACCTGTGCAGCAAATGAACTTTGCATCTAAAGACCTGTAGAAGAAGAAGAAGAGTTTGGATTTGATATCCCGCTTTATCACTACCCGAAGGAGTCTCAAAGTGGCTAACATTCTCCTTTTCCTTCCTCCCCCACAACAAACACTCTGTGAGGTGAGTGGGACTGAGAGACTTCAGAGAGAAGTATGACTAGCCGAAGGTCACCCAGCAGCTGCATGTGGAGGAGTGGAGATGCGAACCCGGTTCCCCAGATTACGAATCTACCGCTCTTAAGCACTACACCACACTGGCTCTCGGGTCAGGAATGAGCAAGGAATAGATTTGGATCTCCTAGTGCAGTGCTTTCCAACCTTGGACTACGAACTCCCATCATTTATGAGCTGGCTAGGGATGATGAGAGTTGTAGTCCATCAACGTCTGGGGACCCAAGTTTGAAGATCACCCTGCTGTAGACCACTTGGTGATTTGCAGTAGGTGGTTAAAGTAGGGGTGGCTAACCTTTTTGGGGCTAAGGACTACATTGACCCCAAGATCAACCCTTCTGGGGGCTGCGTGGTCAAAGTGGGCACAGCCAAAATGTAAAAGTGGGTGTGGCCATTTTGGGGTGGGCTTAGAAGATTAAAAAAATAAGATGGCATATTTGGAGTTGGGAGATTGAGAGCTCGAAAAACAGGGGGGCTGGGTGAAGGGAGGAGTAGAACAAGTGAACTCAAGCTCCAATTCTTCTGATGACTACTTTGAATGGGAACAGTGGAAAGCCACTGTTCTGCAGTCTGGCAGTCCTGCCTCTCAGGTTGCAATGGATTCCAATAGATCAGTTCTGGAACCAAATGGAGATGAGTTTGAATATAGTAGCCGAGGTATGTCTCCAGGTCTTCACGCATCCTGGCCAGCACAGCAAGTAAGTGGTCTGATTGCATAGTACTTGTAAATATTACCTGGTGAGGCTTGCAGCAAGAGGACACCCCTGCTGTGTTGCCTGTCATTGTACCTTGATGGTGTGCTGAACCCCTCTCCAGCCTCGTAGCCGCTTGCTGGAATTGCTGGGTGTTCATAATTCTCAGACCTGGTTCACTGTCTCTATTATGGTAGTTTTTAAAAAAATACTTTATTTTCAGTGCAAAATTACAACATAAAATATAAACAAAATAATACATTAATCAAAAAATCAAAGAAAGAAAAAAAAGAACAACAACCACCTTGACACCTTGCAAACTTCATTTATTACATACTGATATGTTAATTCCAGAAGAATGTTTTTTCATATGCTCTTTAACATAGTCCCATTCTTTTATTAATTGTTTGTCTGATTGTCCTCTTAAGACTGCCGTTAACCTTGCCAAATCTATGTATTATGGTAGATTTTATGAGCCCATGAGCTGAGGACTGGAGGATCACCATGCAGACCAATGACAATGGTACTTTGTACTTTATGCAAGTTTTAGCTGTCCTGAAATCTCATCAAGAAATTTGGGGGAATTGTAATTGCGGGTGGATAGGAGTTTCTTAACTGTCAATTTTGGGAGGAGGGGGCGTGACTGTTAAATTACTTTAGCATTGCATTTGTAGCATAGAAGTATCCATGATATTGCTCTTTGAAGTTATTCCTTTTTAAATCAAAAGACTCTTTATCTCCAGCATTAAAAGATTCTATCTGCGAAGCACTCTGGTGGAGAATTTTAAATTCACACCAGTCAGGAAATTGAGACTTATGGTCCCTGCGGCAAAAGTAACGGCCACAGTGCATACATATATTACGGTGTAAACTTAATGGCTCTATAAATACAGTAGCAAAAAAATACTGCAGACGGGCAGGAGTGCCAAGCTGCAAAGGCTGAGAGGACCATAAACTTGGCATGTGTGACATGTAAATCTTCGGCGGCAACGTTGTGTGGCGGATGAGACTCACAGACAGGGAACACACATTCTTCCAGTTGCGAGGGGAGGCTTTTGCAAATATTCATTGATTTGGACTGTTGGTGTCTCTTTCCTGGCCATCCTCTCCACCCCCATGTTCTTTGCTTTTTTATAGCCTCCATCTTCTCCCTCTTTAGAGAGCCGCTAATACAATGCTAACTTAGAAGTGGCAGGAAAGCTAATTAATTAAGCACTAATTGTCAAGCCAATTGTTGCTAGGCTTAACATTTGACTTGTTTACTATCTGGAAATAAAAAGGAAAAGAACTAATGATCTAACAAATTGCTCATCGCTCATAAATGTCCACATTGTTGTATGTATGAATGATTATTTTATGAAGTAGGCATCTTCCCCCCCCCCTTTTCCTTTTAAAGGCAATCCAGAAGTGGTGTAAACGTGATGGGTATGATGTTTAAAATTGTCTAGGTAGCCGTGGAGACAAATGGTTTGCCTAATAAAGCTTAATGACTGATTTTTCCCTCCACTAATCAGAGCTAAGAATGTGCTTCATTAAGATAATTAACTGAGTAGTTGCTTAACTGTCAGTCCTAGACACAAATTCCCAGGTTCCTTGCTTTTCTCTAAATAAAAGCCAGAGAAAAAAAAAAGACCCTGGCTCCCTTTAATCATCTTTATTAGTAAGATGATGGGCAAAAGGGTTATTAATTTTTTTAAAGGCAGTTCTCTGCCTGGAGCTGCGACATTTCGGATAGTACGGAACATACTGTTGGTGTGCCAGCCAGAAAGAATATTTTAGTTCATATGTTGGTCTGGCAACAGAGAGATAAATTTGAAGCTAGCTTTTTGTTATGAAGAGCTGAGCTGCATCCAGCCAGACATTTAACACAAGTAGGCCATCAGACCTTGGCGCTTCCTCAGTGCTGCCAAAGCTTGAACTATAGAGCAGAGCCCAAAGCTCCACTCAGGATGCTCCCTGGATAATTGGTTTAAATGTATCTGGAAATCTGCATCTTTATGTGATTTGATTATTTGTTCCACTTGTACCTTCTCTCTCCGCCCCTCCCCAAGCTCAGGGTGGCATAGATACCTGTTCTGACCTTTTAACCATAGTTCTAGTTACAGGTAGGTAGCCGTGTTGGTCTGCCGTAGTCGAAACGAAAAAAAAAAAAAATAAATATCTGAAGAAGTGTGCATGCACACAAAAGCTCATACCAATAACAAACTTAATTGGTCTCTAAGGTGCTTCTGGAAGGAATTTTTAAATTTTGTTTCTTTTAGCCATAGTTAGCCAATATACCTGAAGGAGCGTCTCCACTCCCATCCTGCCCGGACACTGAGGTCCAGTGCCGAGGGCCTTCTGGCGGTTCCCTCGCTGCGAGAAGCCAAGTTACAGGGAACCAGGCAGAGGGCCTTCTCAGTGGTGGCGCCCGCCCTGTGGAACGCCCCCCCACCAGATGTCAAAGAGAAAAACAACTACCAAACTTTTAGAAGACATCTGAAGGCAGCCCTATTTAGGGAAGCTTTTAATGTTTAATAGGTTATTGTATTTTAGTGTTCTATTAGAAGCCACCCAGAGTGGCTGGGGAAACCCAGCCAGAAGGGCGGGGTATAAATAATAAATTATTATTATAATTTGGGGATCATTCTGTTTGCTTGAAAGCTTACGTCCCTTCCGTGGTGTGTTGCGTCTACGTTGCAGCCATGTTTATCACTTGCCAGATTCTTTCCTAACAATGACTTGCCAGTGGGATTATGGAGAACTGAAACCATGATGCGTGACAGAATTTCCATCAATCCCTATTTTCCCCTAGATATTTTAGAGTAATAGTTGGTGTAAGTGAAGGCACCAGGTGAGTCTCCCTGGGGAGAGCATTCCACAAATGGGGAGCCACCCGTTCTAGTGTTGCCACCCTCCATACCTCTAGTGCAGGGGGCAAACAAAGAAGGGCCTCAGGTGATGATGGCAGGTCTGCCCGGGTCCCCATCGTTCTGCCCGGATACTGAGGTCCAGCGCTGAGGGCCTTCTGGCGGTTCCCTCGCTGCAAGAAGCCAAGTTACAGGGAACCAGGCAGAGGGCCTTCTCGGTGGTGACGCCCGCCCTGTGGAACGCCCTCCCACCAGATGTCAAAGAGAAGAACAACTACCAGACTTTTAGAAGACATCTGAAGGCAGCCCTGTTTAGGGAAGCTTTTAATGTTTAATAGACTATTGTATTTTAATATTCTGTTGGAAGCTGCCCAAAGTGGCAATATTATTATTAATATTGGGGGAGGCAGTCCTGGAGGTATTGCGGTTCTGAGCTTCATTAGGCTTCATTAGGTCAAAACGAGCACTTTGAACTGGGGCCGGAAACTAATTGGCAGCCAGTGCAGTCAGGTCAGGGTCAGTGTAATATGCTCAAACTGTCTTGTCCCAGTGAGAAAGTTGGCCGCTGAATTCTGCACCAGCTGAAGTTTCCGAACAATCTTCAGAGGCAGTCCCACGTATAGTAGTTGCATATCACAGCTGAGCAGAACCTCAAGCCCAGCGCTCCAGCTGCCACTCAACACTAATAGTGTAATGAATGTTGCTTTATGATATGGGTATGATTTATTTCCCAAGAAATGAATCTTACACTCAGTGTACAACATGCACCTGTGGCCCAAACATTGTGGGGTTTGATCTGTCCTTTGGCTTGGACTCCCCCTGGTGGAAGAGGGGAATTGTTCTTTCTGATTTCTCCCAAGTACCATTTCATCGCAGTACTGAAAAACGCATTTCTTCCAATTCTTTCGCTGTAATTAGGAGGACAGGTAAGTCACCCGTGAAAATAATTGAGTAAGCTGTTGTCTTTTCGTAAATACTTATCTTTGCAGCTCTATGTCATGAATCATAAACATAGTCCTTACCATCCTAATGTGAGGGTGGGAAATATTTTTCATTATTCACTTTCCCCCTTTCTCTTTCAGAGTTTTCACGTCTTCCACAATGAATCCAGTTTACAGCCCCGTTCAACCTGGGGCTCCTTATGGAAACCCTAAGAACATGGCCTATACAGGTAAGGTTGCTTATATTCCCATGCTCAGAGGCCTAGTTCCCATGCAGGTCATGTGCCTTTTTATGGGATGTACCATTTCAGATGGAAGGTGGGGCTAATCAAACAATGCTCTTTAATACCCCCAACTCCACTCTCTGCATGTAGAAAGCTAGATCCGGGATGGCAAGTCTTAGCTGGGTTTTAGCTTTGTGCAGTTCTCTCTCTGTGTGTTTTGCTTTGTACATTGTTCCTGAGAGCAGCACCTATCGGCAGCTTGAAGTGGTGTAGTTCAGATACAGGTTTTGTGTGTACCAGGCAGCTGGTTAATTCAGATAAGTTGAACCCTTCCAAGAAGTGCGTTGCTATAACCAAGTTTTGTTGTTCTTCTGGGATCTTGTTGTTAACCCTGGAGTTTCCTTCAGTGCACCAGCTTTTGTTTCGATAAGACTTCTCTCCTCAGGCATGTTCTAATGTGATACTTCAATTTGTGCTTAACATTTGGTATGTCTACCCTATGGGATCTCATCACTTATCTTCAGTCTGCACGCCTAAAAAAAGTCAGTGGTTTCTCTCTCTGCTGTTGGCTGCTTTCTTCTGCATAAATAACTCTCTGTAGGTTACAGTGATGAACTTTGCCGTGAATTACCACTGATGTAACCTGTGAATATTGCACAAGAAAACTCATCCATATGTTAGCAATTACATCTGAAAATACAAAATGTAAAAAAACAAACCCAATGGAGTTATTTAATGCAGGTGGTTTCTTGTTTAGTTGCATGCCCAAGCCTCTCAACATTATTATATATTATTATTATTATTATTATTATTATTATTATATTTAATATCCCACCCTCCCCAGCTGAAGCTGGGCTCAGAGCAGCTAACAACAGTAAAAATAACACAGTTTACATAAATCACAATCCTTATTAGGGTTCCTTAGTGAAAAACACAGATAAAATTTCCCTGTAATTATTGGAAGTTGTTTATCATTCAACAGTATTGATGAATCAGCAGCTAGATTTGGAATATATGACTTTTCTTTTTCTGTTACTGTGCCCTGTCAGCAACAATAGACTTAGGAGCAGGGCAACACTAGTCACTCTTGGAAGAAACTGTTTTTCCAAATCCCTTTTGGTTCCAATTCAGGCCTGGTTGGGGGAGCAAAACTGTCTTGGTTGTTCTGTGGGGTGACGTTTGCTGAGAGAAAGAGAAGGGATATGCGACCCTGATGATTCTGTTAGACCCGGGGTCAGCAACCTCAGGCCAATGGGCCACAAGCGGCCTACGGGGGTCGTTTAACCACCCCACGAGCTGCTCCCAAACCGAACCGAGCTGCCCGCTCGCCAAGCCCCCGCCCGCTACGCTAAAAGCGGCGCGGGGACTCGCTTCTGCCATGCCGGAAATCGCAGGCATGGGCGCTTATGTGTGCCCGCAATCCGGCCCACGGAGGATTCTCCGCTGGAGTGAACCGGCCCAGGCAAGGTAAACCTCTGCCGACCCCTGTGTTAGACCTTTTGATACATTTGGCCACGGTATCCTTCTGGATAGGCTGTCCAGGTTAATAATAATAATAATAATAATAATAATAATAATAATAATAGTAATAATAGTAATAGTAATAGTAATAATATCTTTATTGTCATTACCCCCTCTCGGGGACAATGAAATTACTTGACTGCTCCATAAAAACACTAAGGTGTGGGAGGTGGTTTTTGGCAGTGATTCTCTTCCTACTTGGATGGTTATTTCCTGAAGGTGGTGCTGGGAGCTTACTGCTCAGCCCCTTGGCTGTCATACAGCCTTTACTGTTGGGAAATTATTCCTGGTTTTTACCCAGAATCTCCTGTTTTGTAACTTGAATCCATTGGTACTGGTCTTACCCTCCAGAGCAGGAAAAAACAAGCTTGTTCCATCTTCTACGTAGCTTTTTATTCGTTGTTGTTGTTGTCGTCATCATCTACTTATTATTATCTACTTATTTAGTGAATGCCACCCAGAGAACTTGATGTTATGGAATGACATACACATACCATAAATAGGTACGGTGGTACCTTGGTTCCTGAATGGCTGAGTTGTCGAATAAATCGGTTCCTGAACGCCGCAAACCTGGAAGTAAGTGTTCCGGTTTGTGAACGCTTTTCGGAAGCCAAACATCTGACGCGGCTTCCGATTAGTGCAGGAAGCTCCTGCAGCCCACCAGAAGCCGCGCCTTGGTTTTCGAACGGTTTCGGGAGTCGAACGGACTCCCAGAACAGATTAAATTTGAGAACCCAAGGTACCACTGTAATCGAAAATGGGGCCAGTATCTATCTGTCCAAGATCTTTTTGTCACTTTGCAGACAGGAGTGATGCTCAGCTGTTCTGGGATGCTCCAGTTGCCACAGTATAACAGACTATTGTGAGTCTACAACCACCATGTTGTAGATCTTGAAAGAAGCTGCCATGTGTCCTACAGAGCCTAGTTGTTTTGTTTGGAAGTGTCTTCATTCCTGCTGCCGCAGCCGGTAGCAAGAGACCCGTCTCTGAAAAACCTTCTCAGTAGGAAATTAGGAAGATGGGCATTTTGACCAATGCCAGTTGGCATGCAGGGACCTAAAATATGATCTGAGCATCTAGTGCATAGAAAGGTGACGGAATGGGGCAGCTTAAAAGGTGCAGATACCTGGGGAGAGAGAGACCCGAGGAGGAATGATGTCATGGCTGGTGATCCATATGAATTGCATAAGAAGCAAACCTGCACAGGATCTGGAAACAGAACGATATATTGGAACAGACAGAATGTTCCAGCAGAAAATCAGGAAATGGCTATAAGGGAATAAGAGTTCAGGAGAGGCTGAGAATAAGCATTCATGTCATGTCTGAGCTTGGTTCTTTGTGTGTCTTTGTAATATGCATGAAGATAAATGTTGTTTAATAGCGTCAAAATATGTTAACCTCCTAAACGTAGAAGACAAGCTCATGGGGCTGTGATAATCTAATGTATTCTGTAGGCAGCTGTATGAAAGATATGCATTTAAAACTTATTTCAGACTCATAGGGCAAAATAGGAAAATAGGAAGTTTTGTCTGTGGTCTTGGCTGCTGAAGGAGCAAAGGGCTTTATTTGCTAAAATAACAAATAACCCTGTTGCATTTAGATTAACGAAGGTGCCACAAGACACATCTGTAGTTGACAAAGGTAGCACTCAGCCTCCTGGCATTTGTAAATACTTGTTTTCTCTCAAGCGATGCAGTATACATTTTGTTCAGAGTTTTCCATGAACTATCTTCTTCTGGCTGAAGTTGTATATTGAATAGCCTTTTAAAAATCTCCTTATTTTGATGCGCTTTTTCCTTCAAATTCAGCATCATTATTCCTGCTGAATCTATATTGTGAGATTGCGTGCAGCAAAATGGCTGGAGCGACGCTGAAATGTTGAGTGAGCCTTATGTATTGGAATGGGTGGTTGCCTTCCTTTTGCATGACTGCAGCTTAGCAGAAATGTCAAGCGCCTTGGCTTTATTCTGGCTGCGTGTCAATGACAGGTAACTGCTCTGTCTGTCTTAACAGCCGATGAATCAAATGAGCTATAGGAATTGATTACACCAAAGTGTTTTATTTGAGCTACCTTGGCTTTCGAAAGGGAAGGCTGCAGTTTGAGTAGCTGTTGGTCCAAATAAAAGGCATTTGCTCACTTTCAGGACCAACACTGTTCCAGTGACATAGACCTGCTGAAACCCAAGTGCTCTTATCTAATTTGAATTGATTTAAAATAGATACCCCCCCCCTAAAGCAGGGATGGAGAAGCTGGTCTCCTCTAGATCAGGCATAGGCAAACTCCAGCCCTCTAGATGTTTGGGACTACAATTCCCACCATCCCTAGCTAACAGGACCAGTGGTCAGTGTCACTTTGCAGACAATGTCAGTGTCGTTTGTGCAGGTTCTCTTTGCTATTTGCTTGTGTTCTTTTGGTGATGAGAAAAATTGGAGTTGGCCTAGGGTGCGGTTGCTTGTTGTGATTGGCTGTGGCGACCTTTGTTTTCATGTGTGGGTGGGTGTTTTTGAATCAGGTTCGCCATATTGATTCATATGCTGTTGGTGGATTCCTGTCGTCGTCTTGTTGGGCTGTGTATGTACCCTTGGGGTCTTATGATGCAGTCAGATGTCACAACTATGTACCTTTGGCTAACACTATGGGTTCCTCGCTCAATCTTTCCAAGATTATGGAATGTAAAGGTGGATTAATTTAGAAGCCATAGCAAAATGTTTTTAGGTATGTTAGTATCTGGTTCCATTTTGTATTTTTCTATATCCTGCTTCTTTTTATTATTATTATTATTAATAATAATAATAGGGAGTGCTTTGGTGAAAAATTGGGGGATATGCTTTGATAAAGTATTGTGGGCAGTTACAGAAAATAAAACCTGATGCATGCAAGCAAGCAAGCAAGCAAGCAAACACACACACACACACACACACACACACACAAACATACACACTTATGAGAGTTTATGTGAATATGCCATGTTTGCTGATCCAGGTATTTGAAACAAACACCATTTAAAAGTTTAGGTATGTGCAGGGAGCTCTTTGCTTTCTTGCTGGACCCCGATTTGGATGAGCCCAAAGCTCCAGTTTACTGCCTTCCTCTTCCCATTCAGCAAATATTCTGTGGAGTATCAGCCATTCTGTTACTTAATTCTATTGCCATGGATTTGTGGCGGGCCAAAGGACTAACCTCATCATAATGAACTCAGAGGTGCTCCCCAGGGCATCCCATAATATAATTTAGCTCTCCTAGTAAGAGCCGCAATTTGATCTATTTCTCTTTGCCATTGAGTGGCGATAGTAATTAAATAGTGATGTTTTGAAAAATCAGCAGAGGTAACTTAGCTGGATAAAGCGTTCACCAATAAATGCACTCATAATTTTTTCCCTGTTGATGAAGTGTCTCCTTGATTCAACAGGAAAAGTATATTGACAGGGCTAGAAAAATAATTCTAGTGTCTAGGCAGTGCCAGCATCAATCTTTCATGCGGCCG